ACTTGATTTTGGCGTTGGTCTGAATGAAAATGCAAATTCATTCTTCGCCACTAGGTGCAGCTTTTGAAGCGGTAAAAGCTCATGAACACTGCTTTAAATGAAATCGGACAAATCACCGCAGATTAGCAACATGCAGAGGGTTTGGAAAAATTAATCGTTGAGCGAATCCTTTGGGAGTCATTGAGCAAATAAGGTAAAAATAAATGCATATTATACGAAAATGAAAGTGTTTTTTGACCTTGCATGCATGTCAACCTGTTGTTGGGGACTCCCAAAACCAAAATAAGAACCTTTCATAACGCATAATAGGGGCACTTTAAAGGATACATTAGCACGTTATGTCACATGCTCTCAAGGCTTATATGTAAAAAATACATATTCAAGTTATAAAAAATATAATTCTACATCCAAATGTTTTCTAAAAATTTTTTTTTACATTTTTTAACTATATATTTAAATACTTTTGAAAGCTTTTATCAATACAATAAGAAATTACTCGTCATCCAGTTTTTTATATCAACTATGCATTACATTCGTTTTTCAAATTGGTATGTTTCGCTGGGCCGTGAAGAAATATAGAGCCGAGTATCATCAGCATAACAGTGAAATCTAACACTATGTTTCCAGATGATATCTCCCAAGGGTAACATGTAAAGCATGAAAAGTAAGGTACCTATTACTGAGCCTTGAGGTACTTCATACTGCATTTGTGATCGATGTGATACCTCTTCATTCACCGCTACGAACTGATGGCAGTCAGATAAGTACGATTTGAACCATGTTAATGCACTTCCACTAATGCCAATAAAGTTTTCTAGTCTATTCAAAATGTTGTGGTCGATAATGTCGAACGCAGCACTAAGATCCAGTAGCACTAATAGAGAGATACAACCACGCTCAGATGATAAGAGCAGGTCATTTGTAACTCTAATTCGAGATCAGTCTGTAATTAACTAGTTGTGGGTCAAGTTGTGTTTTTTTTATGAGAGGCTTAAGAACAGCAAGTTTGGGGACATATCCTAATGACAATGATGAATTAATAATAGTCAGAAGAGGATCTATGACTTCTGGAAGCACCTCTTTTAGTGGCTTAGAAATAATAGGGTCTAACATACATGTTGTTGGTTTAAATTATTTAAGAAGTTTATACAATTCTTCCTCTCCTATAGTAGAGAATGAGTGGAATTATTCCTCAGGGGATCTATAGCACACTATCTGATGCGATACTATAGCTGACGGCTGCATGGTTACAATTTTATCTCTGATAGTATCGATATTGGAAGTAAAGTAGTTCATAAAGTCATTTCTGCTGTGCTGTTGGGAAATGTCAACACCTGTTAATGCTTTATTTTTCGTTAATTTAGCCATCGTATTGCATAAATACCTGGGGTTATGTTTGTTTTCTTCTAAAAGAGACGAAAAGTAATCAGATCTAGCAGTTTTGAATGCTTGTCTGTAGGATAGGGTACTTTCCCGCCATGCGATACGAAATACCTCTAGTTTTGTTTTCCTCCAGCTGCGCTCCATTTTCCGTGCTGCTCTCTTTAGGGTGCGAGTGTGCTCATTATACCACGGTGTCAGACTGTTTTCCTTAATCTTCCTTAAGCGTAAAGGAGCAAGTCCATGTGACAGTATTAAATCTAGAGTATGATTTCGATAATGAGTGGGACGTGACATGTGTTGTCTAACCCCAATAGAGTTCAAAATGTCTATGAATGCTGATCCCAAATGCATCTTTTTCATTATCAACATGGATAGCGCTTTCGTAGAAAGGGACCTGATATTCAATAAGCCCAGATTTATCATTTGTTTCTCTGTATTATATAAATTTTTTTATTAGTTGAACATCAATTAAATTGTTACTCATAAATTGGTTTGGACGTTTTCTGTATTTTCTAGTTCGGGGGAACAGACACAGTCTCTATAGTGTGATATCTAGGTGAAAGGGTTTCTATGTGCTGAGAATTAACTGATTTCTGTGAACAAAACTATGAAAAAAAAAAAAAGACATGATAGGAGGGGACCTGAGACAGAGACAATGGAGCCTTACGGATAAGAGGAAGAGATATTTTTAGAGAAAAATGCAGAAAGCAATAGATATTGTTGAAAGCTGGACTAACCAGTGGGGATTTCGTCTTTCAGTAGCAAAGACTCAGGTAATTTGTTTCTCAAAACAGAAGAAAACTCCTGAAATTAAATTAAAGTTAAATGAGCAAACTTTAGAGCAAGTATCAATTATTAGGTATTTTGGGAGTATGTATGGACTCAAAGTTAACATTTGGGACTTATATTCAACAATGAACATGAAACAGAGACAATATAGCCTTACGGATAAGAGGAAGAAATCTGAGATATTTATAGAGAAAAATGCAGAAAGCAATAGATATTGTTGAAAGCTGGACTAACCAGTGGGGATTTCGTCTTTCAGTAGCAAAGACTCGGGTAATTTGTTTCTCAAAAAAGAAGAAAACTCCTGAAATTAAATTAAAGTTAAATGAGCAAACTTTAGAGCAAGTATCAATTATTAGGTATTTTGGGAGTATGTATGGACTCAAAGTTAACATTTGGGACTTATATTCAAAAGGTAATTGATAAATGTAAGAAAGGAGTTAATGTACTGAGATGTTTGGCAGGAGTGGACTGGGGTGCCAAAAGACATTCACTAAAGAGAGTATATTGCGCATTAATTAGATCAGATCATTGATTGATTATGGAACAATAATTTAACGATCAGCGTCCAACTTTTTGCTAACAGAAACAGATACAATTCAAAATCAAGCCCTTACCATATGCTGTAAGATCCTCTCACTGTGGGAAGATATGGGGAAAATGCCTTTAGAGTTACATGAGCTCCAGATAAGACTGGTATACTGGTTAAATATTAAAAGTCAAATGATTTTTCAAATCATCCAGTTAAAAATGCTTTGGGAAATTGCTGGGAATATGAAAAGCTGGTGAAAAGCTTTGGATGGATAGTACAAAAGTAAACACAGCAAATAGGTTATTAATAATATTAATATTAGTCCTTTGGTAGCGTTGCCAGTATCTCCGGCTTGGTTTTTCTCAATGCCTTTTATGGATCTTCAGATATTTAAAGCTATACAGGATAAACAACATCAAGTTCCTGCAGCACAGTGAGAGTGAATATTTTCACTTTTTACAAATATATACAGTTGGTTCCAAAGAACCAGAAACTCGACGAATAGCTGCAGCTATGTATATCCCTCTTTCTAAGTATAGAGCTGCAAAAAGAATTCCTAATGATATATCTGTGTATACTGCAGAGATGGTAGCTACAGTATTTTGATAACATTACAGTGGGTAGAAGTTAAACCCTCTGCTGTATTAATCTGCTCAGATTCTTTTTCAGTCCATATTAGTTTAGGTTTAAAACCAGATTCCAGACCAGATACATTAATAGAAATATTACAGTGCTTATACAGAATTTGCCTATTGAGACTTAGCAGTATGGGTGCCGGCTCATGTTGGTATGGAGGGTAACGAGGATGTGGACAAGATAGCTAAACAGGCCCTTAAGCATGTTATGATGTTATTAACTTAGAAATACCTTTGGGTATATCTGAAGTGAAAGTTTTAATTAAAACAGCTATTAAAAATATGTGCTCTATTATGCTCTTTTACAAAGTCTTGATTTTGTTTTGGGGGTGTACTAGAACATGCTCTCATGCTTGATGGTTCGAAAAACACATTATTTTTCACATAATTTACATTATTACAATACCTTTCTCCCCAGGCTGGCACAAACGGCTCGATTAGTTCAGGCTTTGATGAAGGTCCACCTTCCGAAAAACAAAATGTGCTGTGATTGGTTAGCTGTCCCAGTGCGTTGTGATTGGCGAACAGCTTAGACGGTGTTTCAGTACGGCCACGCCCCTTGCTCCGTCTTTCAACAAAAGCTTTTGGGCGAATCCGGCACTACTCACTCGTGTTGTGGAAGCTGTCCTCAGTAATGCTCAGGAACAGAGTAAAAAAATAAATTGCAACCAGTTTTCTGACATCATCCACTTTCGGAAGTGAACATTTTTTTCACGGAGGTGAAAAAAACAGCGTTTCAGGCAGTCACGCACTGGACGAGAAGCGCAGCTTCGTGTCGCGCCACATCTTTATAATTCTAATACATTATTTTCTATGAGTGTAGGCACACCGGTGGTGCCGTTCGGCGTCTGTCCGCGGCGCCCAGCTACGTCGTGTTGTACTTGTAAGAATT